CATATCAAACATGCATCATTCAGAGAAATATCGTTTTATTACCTAATTATTTCTGTCTACCGAAAGTTGTTCCCAGCCTTTTCTTTTTAATTAATTTATCCTTAAACTGTACAATATGTGTTTGTTGACGCGACTGACTTCGAGCAAAATCGTTACCGGATATTTAAAACGCTAAGTAAAAGTCAAACCAATATAGTTAAAAACTCTCATCTCGGAAAAAGGACGCGTGGTTCCGGTTTTACTATTCGTAAATGACATAGTGCGAATATAGACCTACTTTAGGCCCACTCCTCCCCAGCACGAAATAAGATTTCGCACATGCAGACACCTTACATTACTTTTTTTCTTTTAATAAAAATGTACACCTACCTAAAAAATATTATTATTAAGTAGGGGTTATATAATTTTCTGTGTTCTTTTTCGCTTGTAAATTTTTTAGCTCACCTGAGCCGAAGGCTCAAGTGAGCTTTTCTGATCACATTTTGTCCGTTGTCCGTCCGTCTGTCTGTCTGTCCGTCTGTCCAGCTGTCTGTCCGTCTGTAAACTTTTCACATTTTCGACTTCTTCTCAAGAACCATTAGGCCAATTTTGACCAAACTTGGTACAGAGCATCCTTGGGTGAAGGAGAATTTAAATTGTTAAAATGAAGGGACATATCCCCTCGCAAGGGGAGATAATCAAGAAAAGGCAAAAATAGGGTTGGGTCATTAAAAATATCTTCTTCTCAAGAACAACTGGGCCAGTAAAGCTGAAACTTATGTGGAGGCATCTTGGGGTAGTGTAGGTTGTAAATTGTTCAAATCATGACCCCAGGAGATTGGGCGGGGCCACAATGGCAAATCAAAGTCTTACATATAAATATATAGGAAAAATCTTGAAAAATCTTCTTCTCAAGAACTACTGGGCCAGAAAAGGTGAAACTAATGTGGAAGCATCCTGGGGTAGTGTAGATTCTAAATTGTTCAAATCATGACCCCCGGGGGAAGGGCGGGGCCACAATGGGGTATCAAAGTTTTACATAGAAATATAAAGGAAAAATCTTTGAAAATCTTCTTCTCAAGAACCACTGGGCCAGAAAAGCTGAAACTTATGTGGAAGCATCCTGGTGTAGTGTAGATTCTAAATTGTTCAAATAATGACCCCCGGGGGAAGGACGGGGCCACAATGGGGAATCAAAGTTTTATATAGAAATATATAGGAAAAATCTTTGAAAATCTTCTTCTCAAGAACCACTGGGCCAGAAAAAGTGAAGCTTATGTGGAAGCATTCTTGGTAGTGTAAATTCTAAATTGTAGGAATCATGACCCCCGGGGGAAGGGCGGGGCCATTATAGGGGAATCAAAGTTTTACACAAAATATATAGGGAAAATCTTTGAAAATCTTCTTCTCAGGAACCAATGGTCCAAAAAAGCTAAAACATATGTGCCAATGGAAGGATCATGGGGTAGTGTAGATTTCAAAATGTCTAAATTATGATTTATCAGTGGGGTAGGGTGGGGATGCATTATGTTTAGCAAGGGGGAAATCTGGTAAAGAACGAAATGGTCAAAGCTTCTCAGGTGAGCCATGTGGCCCATGGGCCTCTAGTTAATTTATGCATTTAGCCATACCTTGAATATAGAGATGAACAGTTTGTCAGCGCAACTCCTCATAAACCACTGCACAAAATTTTGTCAAACTTTGCAGGTATTTAGGAAACAATGTGTAGATGTGCATATATCCAAGAAATTCCGATTCAATTATTATTCCGGGAATTTCTGCACTTTTCTACTAAGGCATTTGGCCATACCTTGAATATGTAGATAAACAGATTGTCAGCGCAACTCCTCATAAACCGCTGCACAGAATTTCGTCAAATTTTTCAGGTATTTAAAACACAATGTGCAGATATGCGTATTACTAGGAAATTTCGATTCCATTATTTTTTCCGGGAATTTCCGCACTTTATACCTAAGGCATTTGGCCATACTTTGAATATAGAAATGAACAGTTTGTCAGCGCAACTCCTCATAAACCGCTCCACAGATTTCGTCAAACTTTGCGGATATTTAGGACACAATATGTGGATGTGCATATTACCAGGAAATTCTGATTACTTTATCTTTTCCGGGAATTTCCGGACTAAAAATTTTGGTTTTGGCCATACCTTTTATATAAAGATAACTAGTTTGTCAGCGCAACTACAATCCACAGAATTTTGTCAAACTCTGCAGATATATAGGACACAATGTATAGATGTGCATATTACCAGGAAATTACTATTTCTTTATTTTTCTTAGAAATTCCACACTTTTCAAATTAGATTTTTGGCCATACCTTGAATATACAGAAGAACATTTTGTCAGCGCAACCCTTCATAAACTGCTGCACATACTTTCTTCAGACTTTGGAGATATTTAGGACACAATGTATAGATGTGCATTTTACCAGGAAATTTCGATTCCGTTATTTTTCTGGGAATTTTGGCACTTTACAACTTAGATATTTGGGGATATCTTGAATATAGTGGTGAGCAGTTTGTCAGCGCAACGCCTTATAAACCGCTGCACAGAATTTAATCAAACTTTGCAGATATTTAGGACACAATTTGTAGTTGTGCATGTTAGCGGGAAATTCTGATTCTTTCATTTTTTCCGGGATTTTCAGCACTTTGTGTTTTGTGGGAGCGTGGGGTATGTGAGCTTGTTCACTTTTTCTTTCATTGATTATGTTCATAAACAAGGAGTATATGCTGACTTCAAGGCACTGAATATTTTCATAAGTAATGACGTCATATGTACGAAATGACGTCACAAACATGACGTAAATTTCATTTTTTTATGAATTCTACAGAAAAATGTACATATTTCGTCGATATTTTGAGCAAAAGTCACCGAGCGCTTGTGTGTTCAGGCTCAATTTTTTTTTTATATACAGTGTATTGTGTATAATGATAATATCAATGAAATATGTAAATATTGTTCCTAAACAAACTTGCTCTCTATAAATTTTAATGCTAAAATTGTTGAAATTTTGTCCTCTTTCTGAAAAAGGATTATAAAATCGGACTAGTTTGTAACGTCATAAAAACAAAAATTGTGAATAAACTGCCTTGAAACAATAATATGTTCTGTTAATTTATATTTTTCATACAATTTATTGAATGCAGCACATTTCAGGAAGTTTTCAAAATTTGACTTTTCTGGGAGCAAATATATGCAATATATCGCATATAGCTCTTTATCATATACATGTACCTCCAAATAACTAGTAAAATATAGCAACATAAAACTTTAGAGATCAAATGTAAAATACTTATTCATAAAACAAAACATAACAAGCAAATTCAAGGAATTGTGGTCCCCCGCTTTCGGTGTCATTGTGGGTGAGATGTCATTTTTTATGATGTATAAATTGTGTGTAATATGAACACCCTATCATATGTCATTTATTTAGAAATCATCACTGAACTCAAGGTCAATGTCAAAGGGTTAAAGTTCTTGGTATCCAATGTAAAGTTTTCTCATAAGGATTGCATATTTGAAGTATGAAATTCCTAGTCCTTACCATTCAAAAGTTATAGTCAGGATTTAAGTTTTTTATTAGTACACAAATGTCCAAGGTCAAGGTCAAAAGGTCAAGGTTGTTGGTATCAAATGAAAAGTATTGCCAAAAAGAATGCATATGTGAAATATGAAAGTCCCAGTATCTACTGTTCCAAAGTTGTGACCAAGGTAAAAGTTTTTGAAAAGTAGGTCAAACTCCAAGGTCATGGTCAAAGGATCAAAGTTCTTGGTATTTAATAAAAGGTCTTCTCACAAGGAATACATATGTGAAGCATAAAAGCCCTAGCCTCTACCATTCAAAAGTTTTGATAAAGGTTAAAGATTTTTCATAAGTACACAAATCTCCAATGTCAAGGTCAAAAGGTCAAAATTGTTGATATCCAATGAAAGGTATTGCCACAAAGAATACATATGTAAAATGTGAAAGTCTAAGTATCCAACGTTCAAAAGTTGTAACCAATGTTATAGTTTTTAAGAAGTAGGTCAAACTCCAAGGTCAAAGGATAAAAGTTCTTGGTATTTAATGAAAAGTCTTTTTACAAGGATTACGTATGTGACTGAAGTATGAAATCCCTAGCCCCTACCATTCAAAAGTTTTGGTCAAAGTTAAAGTTTTTTTCATAAGTACATAAGTCTCTAAGGTCAAGGTCGAAAGGTCAAAGTTTTTGGTATCCAATAAAGGTCTTGCTACAAACAATATATATATGAAATATAAAAGTCCTAGTTCCTACCATTCAAAAGTTATGACCAAAGTAAAAGTTTGGAATTTTTGTGTAAAACTGGGTCAAACTCCAAGGTCAAGGTCAAAAGGTCAAATTTAGTGGTACCCAAAGAAAGGTCTTGTCACAAGGAATACACATGTGAGATATGAAAGTCATAGCTCCACTAAATCAAAAGTTATGGGCAAGGTTAAAGTTTTTGTGACGGACGGACAGACTGACAGACAGACAGACGGAGAGACGGACAGATGGACAGACGAATGAGATTTAATGTCCCCTCGCTTTCGCGAAAGCGGGGGACAATAACAAGGGACTTTTTGACGCGCAAAAAATAACGTCATGTTTCTGCATACTACGTCATCAGTTTTAGAGAGTGGTGAACCACAGTGTGGTGATCTGGAAAGTCGGATCACGGCGTCAGATGAGAGCGTAAAATCAACAGTAAAATAGTGATACAAATTAGTTACATAAAAAACATTTAAATATATTTAGGTTAGAACACGTAAAGATAGAAAGTTGTAATTTTTAACTCTCTTTGACATGTCCAAGGTATTGCAAGATATTAAAGTTCCAATTAACGTTCAACCGTATACTTGGAATATTTATACATGTACATTTGTATTGTTAAACTAACGGTGACCAAAAGTATGAATAGTAAATAAGACTCAAATCATTGAATGAATTTATTTTTCAGAATATCTATATTTATAATTTCTTTTTATTTCTGAATTTTAAGATAATACTGCCGATATCTCTGTTTACGAGAGGGCACCAGACGGAGGCTTGAAGCAGGTCATTGTGCCAAGTGAAATAAGCTGGGGTGAAACCAATGTGGACGACGCATTCCTTCAATTCTTCTGTGATCTCATTGGAAAAGAAAGCATGGACACATTCAAGGAAGAATGCATGGAAGATTACTTAGATTTATTTAAAAATTTTGGTTTTCTTAAAAGATCAGTACCTTCAGCAACATCTGACAGTATTAAGATCAGAATTCCGGCTCCACTTTCTGAAATTCTTGATGACAAGGAGGTAATGGCCAAAGCTATTGAATCATCAAAATACAAGGACATTATTCCTTTTAAAAAGCGAGCTGATATATTCAAATTCCCATATTCTGAGCTTGAAAACTTCTTCAAGGAAACATGTGATAACATTAAAAGTCATCTGGATGGTTTGTTGAAAAAACCTGAGTTGGCTGATGTTGAAACTGTCCTGTTGGTTGGTGGCTTCTCCGAATGCTACATCATCCAAGAAATGATCAAGAAAGAGATGAAAGACAAACATTTAATATTACCACAGGATCCAGGTCTAGCAGTACTGAAAGGTGCTGTGTACTTTGGTCATGTACCTAATGCATTTACCACTCATATTTCAAATTATTCCTATGGGGTCCAAAACTGGCCAGACTTTGATCCGTCAAAGCATCCGGAGGAGAAAAAGATAAGAGTCGGAAACCAAGACAGATGTCGTGATGTCTTCATGAAGTTTGTCACAAAGGGAGACAAAATCAAACCAGGTCATCGAACATATTATATCTTAAAGGTCATCAAGCCAGACGAAGATATCATTCAATGCAGCATTTACCTGTCTCGTAAACCAGATCCCAAATTCATAGATGAAAAGGGGGTGTCTTGTGTTGGATCGCTGCAGATTAAACTACCCAAAGTTGATAAAGGCACTTCCATCGATATTGAGGAGAAAATCTTCATTAAGGACACAGAAGTTGAAGTAATTGTTACCGAACTGCATAAATTTAGGGAATTCAAAGCAACTTTTGACCTTCTTTCTCCTGATATATTGAAAGAAGAGTAAGCAATCAAATCATGTGATGTTAAAAAAATGAAGAAAAGTAACATGTGATCTTGCAATAAATTCAGAAGAACTTTTTGTTTTAGATAGAAAGTGTAAAATTAACTTAGGATTTTTTTTTTGCTTTTTGTGAAACAGTTAGTTGAAAACAAAAGTTTATTAGAGTAACTTATAAATACAAAGAGTTATTTAACTTAAGTATTCTTGTGTTACTAACATATTGTAAAATTATATTATATGTATCAGTGAAAAACGGCATTTTTAAAAACAGCTTGTAGAAACAAAATTGCATTTTTGATAACATATAGTGCATATTAGAATAGAAAATAGGAAAAAGGTGACTCGAACCCAGATTTAAAAAGAAAAAAAAATGAAAAAGGGGGGGGGTCCTTACCCCAAGTGCCTATGCTTGATATAAGTCGTTCCTTGAACTGTGAAATTAATTGTTTGGTTTTGTGTGGGTCAGAGGTGTTCCTCTTATGACGGATAATTCCCCCCTTAATAAATCCTCTGAAGGTAGCATTGGGATGTGCACTGCTGCGATGCAGATACATAAATGTTTCTGTAGGTTTGATGAAAGTTTCAAAGTCTAAGACTCCGGACTGTTTGAATCTCTGTCCTTTGTAGACTTTTGTGTTCAGAAACACAGTCTCGTTTAACCCCTTCTCTACCGCATCGGTCAATATGACCGATAGCGCGTTAAAGGTACTTGGACACAGATTTGAAGTTGATATTTTTTCTATAATATTACGACTTATATATTTTAATAGCATTTCACACAAAAATTAATTAAAAATTTTATTTCGTTTAAAAGTTATTAAATTTTTAATTTTTTTGGCGCGTTTGATTGACTTATCTTTGCACTTTCACAAATTTTAACTTTATTCTTAATCCTTAGTAGAAAATTGACATTCTTGTTGTTTGTTAATGAAAAATATTACATTTGTAATACTATAATCCAGAAAATTCAGAGTAGACATGTTCGAAAGCAAAACAAACACACAATATATTGTCAGTCCGTGTAGTCGTTGTGAGCAGACTTTGGCGTTTAAACGCACCCGGTGAAGCAAAACACCAAACAATAACAAAGCTTTCCCGCTGTTTACAAAAACTGTGTACATAACACGAGTGTGCTCGATATGCTAAACTCTGTACACAACGGAATGACAATACTTGTGAAGGAGTTTTGCTTTCTAACATTTTTACCCTAAATAAATTTATTTTCCGGATTTAAGTTTCAATGTTTCTCATGAATACACAACAAGATTGCCACCTTTCTTAAGGATTAAGAATAAAGTTAAAAATTGTGAAAGTGAAAGGATGTGTCAATCAAACCCGCCAAAAATTTAAAGTTTTAATAACTTTTAAACGAAATAAGATTTTTAATTAATTTTTGTGTGAAATGCTATTAAAATATATAATTCGTGATATTATACAGAAATATACAGAAAATATTAACTTCAAATCTGTGTCCAAGTACCTTTAAATCACGGCATCGCGATAACAGGACCTATGTATATTTTTGATAATAGCATTAAGGTATATAAATAATATATAATCTTTTAGGAAATTATCTCTACTTTCAGACCCTGTAAAAATTTTGAGCCTTATTAATCGGTAATGAATAGATTTTACGTTTTGAAGACATTCATGAATTTTTGAAAATGACGCAATTTTCAAAAGCAAGGACGAATATCCTAACGATAGGTATATTTTTTCCTGATCAAATCATTTAAATAAAGAAGATGGGCGAACAAGGCGGGCAGAATGCCTATAGCGTCAGATATTAAGAAATCATATTAAATATGTAAATTGATTATTTAAATTAACTTATAATTATTGAAATTTTTAGGAATTATGAAGAAAAAAAAATATCTGAGAGAGAAAAAAATCTCGTAAAAAATTTTCTGTCATAAAATTAGTAGTTGGTATTCGTGGGATTCGAACCCTAGCAATAAAAATCTGACGTATCAATAGCATGCTGCTTCGAGACTAACTCGTTAACCACTATGCTACACCGCTCATAGTGATGTGAGGCATTTAAATCATGTTTGTGATATGACCCGCGACTTAATGGACTTCAAGTATTTCTCGGAAAGATGCTAATGTTGTGTCATAAAAAAGTACTTTTAAGGTATGGTGGGTCTTCTCTCCATGTTTTTGAAAACCAAAAAATGTGAATTTTATTGCACACTTTTAGGATCATCTTTCCAAAATATGGAGAGAAGACCCACCCATATTGAAATTTTTTGTTTAAGTATGAGAAAATGATCGTTTTTGTTCTTTTAAGTGTGTGTAAGCTTTTTCATGGGCAAATATTTTCAATCTTTGTGAGATTTTTGTAAATTGTAGAGATTTTACATAAAGTATACTTTAATATTAGATGAAATATCGAGTAAAATTTGGATTCAATTGGGATAAAATTTTTCAAATCTTATCTGTCGCACTATAGGCATTCTGCCCGCCTTATTCGCCCATCTTCTTAATATATTTAAAAAGGATATTTTCTCTGCTTTTAAAATATGTAAAAATTATTGCTTTTTCATTTAAATATTTTGTTAAAACAAGAATTTTCTTCCACGCATGTGAATTTTCTGGGTTTTATTCGTAATATTTGAATTAAACACAGTTTTACCTTTATTTCTGTGTTGAAATAGGGAAACAAATACAGCTGGTAAAAGTAGAGAAAATTTCCATTTCAACAAGCCTTCACTGGTCTCTTTAGGAGTTTTTCAACCCTTCTTTGGATTTTCAGAGGGCGCGACTTTCTTGGCGCTACGTAAAAGCGAATACTAGTAGATTCTCGTTGGTTACGAAATTAATAACATCAGGAACTTTAAATTGTTGTTGATAACGATGAGACGACTTATGCCCCACCTCTGTGTCGTGAGAGAACTTTTAATTGGCTATTTACTACATTCGACCGCATCTCTATCACATGTATATTTCAACAGTGATGGGAAGCTGTGTAAATTTCAGAAGCTAATTAGGCAACGTCGAGAATGCCACGCCTTACTGAAAGTCCATACTTAGCCTGTAATGGTAATATTTTCAGTATTCTCTGAATTACCATAGTTTGAATTTTGAACCTCCGCGTAATTTTTGTAGAAAATTTGAATGTAGTCAATATTTAACGTCAAGGTCGTTTTCGTTGCGCCTCATTCGGAACAACATGTTTAGTACATATGTATGTACTATTATATTTAATTGAATTTAAATAGAAGCATTTAAAAAAAATGATTTAAAATAACAGTAATTATCTTTACAGCTTTAGAGAAATATAGTACATATGTTTTTTGTTTATTTATGCAATGTGCAATAAGTTTTATTCAGTGTTGATAAAAAAAAAATGTTTGATTCCTAAAGGTCTACGCCAAAAAAAAAAAGAAAAAAAGATTTATTGCTGTTTGCTTTATTAAAATATATTCTTAATATAAAATACAATTAAACATAAACTGACATGAAATTAAAAAAAAAAAACTTTGAAACACAATGATTTAATACAAAATCTCGACTCATTACGGTATGAGTTGCTTTTATTCGAGATTAACACGTGTTTCCGCTGTAGCAGTAAACAAAAACAGGCTGCATTGCGTTCACCAGAGCATGTATTAACTCTATTCACATTAAAATAAAAACACAATACAAACATTCATTGCCTGACAGCCAGCGGTGATTGCTGGACGCCCGTAATTTATTAAGTACTGTATTGCAACAACACTTTCAAAAAACATATTATTCGTCACCATATTAATGCAGAAAAACATGACGTAACCTGTCCTTTTCTTTACATGACAGCATATTTAAAATTCTAAAGCCCCCTTTACAAAGCATCAGGGCCGGCCAGGCAAAAACTAGAGATAAAACGATGAAAATCGATTTTAAAAACTCTAGAAAACCTGTGTCCGTTGCCAGGTGCCGCTGGATGCAGGGGGAGTTGTGAACGGACCTCGCAACTTTATTACCATATATGAATATACTAGTTAGCATTAAATAACCATAATAATATTGAAATGTTGAAAAAATAATAAAAATTATGTAACGTTTCGTCTAACTCGTGCCGCACGGCGGCTAGAAGTGAATACCTGAAATACATTTCGAAAACCTGTTCTTTACACGCTTAATAGCTATTGGCTGTTAATGGAACCTTCCATTATAATGCACTGTACCGTCAATACAATATTTTCCCGCTATTACTGGCGAACCGCGGGAAAATACAATTATTTTTTCAAAGCATTATTATTCAACCCTCTCGACAGTAGTCTTAATGGCTGAGATTAGCTGTACTATTCCAATGTCAACCAATCCCCCCGCTCAATCGAATCCCGCGAATTTTCGATTAAAGAAAGAATATACAGAACCCAGCAGGTTTGGTACTTGTGAATGTTTGTAAAAAAATATCGACAAACATTAGCTACATTTTCCAGTGTAAACATGCTAAAAACATTACGCAAACGACGCGTACGTGCGCGTTTAAGAGTAAAATCGACGTAGGCTGGCCAAGCTCGCGGCCCAAATTAGAGTGGAGAGTTTCTGTCAGCTTAGGGTGAAAAAAAGTGAGTATGTTTGTCTGCTGTATAAATATCAGTTTTGGTGATAATGCCTTGACAGTAACCGAGGTGGCGTGATGAAAAGCCCTATCTTGTTGTGACGTTGGTAAGCGCTAACGTCACCGTCATGATTGATTGGAAACATTTTAAGTTTACTCTCTGACAACCAAAAAACACTTTTACTTGGTTGAAAAGTTTAAAACAATTTGAACATCAGCATGTTTTTGCCTTTTTATTCACTTGTGCAATATTGAATTCAATTACTAAACCCACAGTAGATTCCGTCAGCCATACCACGATTGCAAGAAATTTATACTGACTGCAAATATGCAAAAACGATGTCTATAATTCTAATGCATAGTATGGTACTACAAAATTTTATAACAAAATTATCATCATCAACATGCACGTGTTTTTGACTTTTTATCATTTCCCCTACGTGATGCCATACATTTCATGGTTGAGTAATTTTGACTAGTAATTTTAGTGCAAAGTAACCAAAATAAACATTTGACAAATTTTCATATT